CTAGACACCCGGACCAGCTCACCGAGACCCGTCCCCTACGTTGTTGCGCTGCGTCCAAAGCCAGCTGGATGCCCTTTCGGCCACCTCACCAAGTTTTTTGAGTGCCCGTTTCCGTTCATTACCGCGCAATCCTAATTCTTTCACCACATTGTAGAGCGAAGTGGAAACGAGGCCTCTCGCTCCCACTTCGACGGCAAATACCCGCACTGTGTAAGCCTCGTTTCTCCTCAAACCGGCTGCTAAATCACTGTACTTTTCGAGCTTGTACAAGTGATTCTCCTCCATACGCGACTCAAACGGGACCGTCAACTCAATCAGGATGAGTTGCCGTTTTTGCGCTGAATGGAGAACGATGTCCGGTCGCAGGCCGGTTTTACGGATCAACTCGGGATACCGTTCATGTCCTGGCAGATCAACCGCCAGTAACCAGTCCCTCGCAGAGTCTAGCACAGATGGAGCGAATGCGATATTATACCGTGATGCGATGTGCAAGAGGTTTCAAGCTGTTTACAGATTTTAGCCGTTCCGAAACCTTGAGGCTCAGACACCTTGTCTCCCAGCCCCTCGATCCAACCCCCCCCCCCCCCTCCCCAACCTCAATAATTCCTCGCATATAAATTTTGCAAGGGGGCTACGTGACTTTCTAACTTTAAACGTTCCTTTCTTTAAAAAATATTTGTTTATACATTTTTATATGTATTATCATTTGTATTATTATTATTATTTTTATTATTATTATTGCAGAATTAGACAAAGTTTAATCCAAATGAACCACCCTCTCGTAAAAAAATAACATATCTGGAGGGGTAACTCTAACAAATGTTTTGTCTCAGCAATAATATTTATATCAATATCTTTCTTCTCCACAACCCCTTACCCTGCACGATATCGTTATACCCTGCACATACAGTATACATTAAAGTATCACTAAACCAAGAAATAGACATCAGGATAGGTAAGGCAGCAACAACAATGAGCAGATGGACAAAAAGAGTTTGGGAGAACAGAAAGCTCACAATTAAACAAAATCCCTTGTCTATCAGGCTTGTGTTCTCAGCACTCTGCTTTATGGCAGTGAAACTTGGTCAACCTATTTGCACCAGGAGAGACGGCTTAACAGCTTTCACATGCGATGCCTAAGAAGAATCCTTCGCATTAACTGGCAGGACAAAATCACAAACATTGAGGTACTGGAAAGAGCAGGTACTACAACAGTCTTTTCCATGCTCAGTCTACGAAGGCTCAGGTGGCTGGGTGACACCTGGAGAATGGATGATGGCAGAGTCCCTAAGGACATTCCTTTACGGTGAATTAAAGACAGGAAGAAGATGTCGAGACCGACCTCTACTACGTTATAAAGATGTGTGCAAGCGGGACATGAATGATACAGGTATTTAGCCGGATTCGTGGCAACAAAATGCTATGGAACGTGTTGTGTGGAAAGGGCATATCAGGAAGGGAATGAGACTGCAGGAAGAAATGATTGCAGAAAGGATGAGAGCTGGGCGTCTGAAAAGAAACGGATTAAACACAAATGTTGTTAACAATGGTCCTGAAATCCTATGCTATCATTGTGGAAGACTTTTCTTGACACAGGCGGGTCTTGCTAGTCACACTCGCCATCGCCATGGGCTGTGAGTCTCGTGCCTTCTCATAGCGCAGTATAACACTATTGTCTGGAAAGACGGAAAGGTGCCATTGAACAGTATATATTAAACACACTAAATAGTGCATAAACTGGAACCTGTACGATAAGGCAATCTGTCTCTTCTCATAAATATGTAAATCGCTTGGGACAGAAACCTTCTCCAACATACACATGAAAATAGGTTTGAGACCACTATTTTAAACACATCATATTTTGAGATACACTTTCTGTTTTCAGTTAGATGCCACGAGTGGTAAATTTACTATTTCCTCCATAACTTTATTTCTTTTAGATGACACAATAGATGCCTCTTTGGCGATTTCCAATTCCTTTTTTTTAAAAAATATGCTGTGGGTGTTCGGTTTAGTGTGTTTTTGGACTGACTGACTATCACGGACCCGTGCAACTAGCTAGATACCATCATAGTGGATCAAAGGTCTGTGTCAGTGAGCCTCATCTGAATGTTGGCACTTTGTGTCACCGGGTGTTTGTCGCTCGGTGTAATGTCATGATGGGATTGAACGTCAATCAATCAGTCATTTTATCTACTGTAATATTTACAATTTTTCGATATGTGACTCAAATTATTGTCATTTAGCTTTCCTTAAACTAATCCTTTAAAAGGTTTTTTTATTTTTTATTTTATATATATTTAATCTTTTAATGTAGTTCTCTAGAGATACCTAGTAGTTAACGACGAACTAGTATACATAGCCCCTGTTTATTGGTAGTGAATGTGTTTCGGCTTAATAAAACCGTTACATTACTACTGACTCACCATTAACAGCTTGAAAAATATATAAGAAAACGAATATAATTTTAACGGCCATCATAGAACGGTGGTGTGCTTTCTTGAAATTGCCTCGTTATGATTGTTATAAAATGTACATTTTTTTCTATGACGCAAATTCTATTATTAATGCAAAGTGGCTTTTTAATGAAAACATTCACGCCGATCCTGAAGAAGTACATCCTTAACTGAACGAAATACTTTTCGCAGACGACCAAAGCATAATACATGAAAACGAAAAAGAACTTCAAATCCACGTAAATGCGCTACACACAGTCTGCAACGAATATAACATGAAGATCAGCATCACCAAAACAGAAATTCTGAAAATAAGTAGAACACCTAATATACTAACTATTCAAGTTAACAACGAACAACTCAAACAAGTGCAGCAATTGAAATATTTGGGGAGCATCTTCACAGATGATGGAAGAATTGATAGGGAACTTGAGGCAAGATGTCAAAAGGCGAACGCAGTAACTTACCAACTCTCCCCACTGCTAAAACACCCAAGCATCACTATGGCACTAAAACGACAACTGATAAATTGCATGTTTATACCAACCCTCTGCTACCAATGCCAAACCTGGTCCCTAACAAGAGCACAGGAGAAAAAGATCACGACGTGCGAAATGAGATGCTTACGTAAGGCTGCCAATGTCACAAGGAGAGAGTTCATAACGAGAACATTAGAGCAATTGTAGGAACCACACCATGCATGCAATACATAAAGAAACAACAAATAGAGTGGTTTGGCCACTTGATGCGAATGCAAACCGACCAACTGCCTCTACGAGCATACAACGAACAGCACTACTGCCCTAGAGCAAGAGGCAGACCGAGAGTACGATGGATAGACAATATATCAGAGATCCTGAGGCAATACGGACTAACAACAACACGTGCAACACACCTGGCCCAGGATAGAAAACTGCGACTCCCCACTACGCTGTGAGGCAATTGTGGACAAGACAAGACAAGACAAGACAAGTGGCTTTTAGACAGCGGTGCAAGCGTCGCATCACAGAAGCGATTGTTGACTGATCTGTAATATTCCCAGGTTCTTTTCCGCATTGTCAACCTATTTCGAGGGTTGCGAGATAGGGTAGGGAATTCTAGTGAGTCCTCGGACTGTGTAGACTTACGACAAGAGACAGGGCGTGCTGGAGATCCATAGCAGCCAAGAAATGAACAGAGGGTTTGAACAACTTTTTTTTTCTGCAGGGGAAAACAGGCGAACCTTCAATTGGGGTGCAACTGACAC